AGTGTTCAGAGTTGTTTTATTTTTTTAAATCATTGTTTCAGTTAGTTATTTTATAAGCCTTTACACAGAGTGGCAGTTCTGGTGTGGCTGACATCCTCCTAACTCAGTGCAGTGGCACCACCTGGTATTAGAAATGTGGACTGTCAACCCCGCCCTGGACCTGCTGGATCTGAACAGCAAGCAGTCAGGTCTGAGGAGCACCGCTTCTAATCTTCAGATAGAGAAACTGAGGTCTGGAGAGGGGCACCTGGCAAGTTCTTGATTGGTGGCCAGGACTCTGGAGACAGACAGCCTGGGTTTTGGGCCCTAGGTGGCTGACTGTCTGTGAACTCTGTACAGTGAGGATAATATAAGTATTTCCCTAGGAGGGTGGCAGGGCTCAGGAAGTATTATTCTCTGCTGTTATTGCAGAATTTTCAGGGTAATAGGAGGGAAGCAGCTAACACTCTCATTCTTCACCACAGACCCTATGTACCTGAGGCTTTGCAAAGGGCCCTTGGACTAGTGACCAAAATCCTCTCCATGTCCCCCGGCCTCTCCTCTGGGAAGAAGAACAACAGTTAGCTTTGTGTGTGTGGCCTTTTGCAGACATTTACTTCTTTGGTCTTATTTGGTCCTTACAGCAACATTTTTAGTTAGGTATTATTGTCCCTGTGACACTCAGAGAGGGGAAATGACTCACCCAATGTCATACAGCAAGTACATGGCAGAGTCAGAAGTACAAACCAAGTTTGCCCAACTCTGTAACTTGTATAGCTTGAAACTTTTAGTGGTAAATTAGAAAAATTAGATTCAAACTGGCCTAAGCAGTAAAGAGAATTTTTGGGTTTCATAATTGAAAAGTCCAGTTATAGCTAGATCCAGGGGCTCATGTGAGGATCTGTCTCCAGGATCTATTTCCATCTGTCTCTCAGCATTCCTCTGTGTTGGCTTTATTCTTATGTGGGTCTCTACATACGGGGTCAAAGTAATACAGGTCTAGCTTACTGCTCTCAGCAGAAAGTGTATTTCTTTTCTAATAATTATAGCAAAAGACTCAGAGCTGGTTCTCATTGGCCAGGACAGTGGAGCGTCTTGACTGGCTAGGCTTAGATCACAAGCACATTCCTTGGAGTTGTGGAGTAGTAGAGTCAGCTGTATCTAAACCTCATGGGTAGAGGCTGGGGGAGCTGAGTTTTCCCCTCAGGAAAATGGGGTGCTGGGCAGGCAAAGCCAAGAGAAGCCCCTTTTGGACTCCCCCCCGTACACACATACACTCTGAACTCCCTGTCCAGCTCCACCTGCCCCTGGCCCCTGTTTATCCCTACTGGTTTCTCTTTGCTACAGGAGCCTCTCAGCTTCCTTGTGGCTGCAGGGTGCTTGGCCGCACCCCAGCCCTGCCCCTACTGAGGCTGCTTGACACTCTGTCCTATGCCAGAGATGGTGTGGGGCTAAGTCCAGAAGTTTGCACCACAGGGAGTAGGGAGTGGGACGGAGGGGGCTGTGGAATCTGTCTTATCTCATAGTCACTTCCAAATTTTCTTAGGTCACCAGAAATCTTGAGGGAGGTGGCATACCCCCTGTCAACTGTAAGCTTCCTATGCTCAGCATGGTGGCCTGGTCCTCACATGGGTTCAGCATGGCCACAGTTATACCCCAACAGCCACATACAGGCACAGGGAAGGGGGCTTTGGTCCTTGGGGTTATCTGCTGGTCAGGAAGGAACACTTTTCTCAGGAGACTCCCCATGTGACATTACATTCCCTGCCTAACCAACCGCTGACAAGGAGATTGGGCCCACCCTCCTTGACTGACCAGAGCTTCTCTGTAGGGCACTGTGTGCAAAAGGGAGGATGATCATTCATTTGGTGGGCCATCTCATGTGTTACAGGACATTTAGCAGTTCTGGACTCTGTCCATGAAAAATACATAGCATTGTCCCTGAAGTTCCTGTGCCAAACTGGAGCACTTGTGCACCTGCTGAGGTGTCCAGTATTGCTTTACACAACCACTGGATTACACTCATTGAGGTTCAGCTTCTGGCGCTGGGGAAAGCTCTGCCTGGAATGCAGAGCATCATGGAGGGGAGTCCTGGAATAAAATAGCAGCTTGTTAGCAAAGAAGAAGGGGAGAGTGTCTGCTGGGGTTGCCATCAGCAATGTTGGCCTCACTACTGCTAAATATCCAGGGGCTCAGGCCAGATACCACATCCATTGTCTTAGCTCTGTTTTTTCCGTCTGTGTGTCTTTTAGCAAGTCTTGTGGTCTAACCTCCCTAAGGTATTCCACATTTCTCCACTCGACCCCACTGCTACCACTAATTAAGCCACTATCCTCTTGTACCCTGATTGGCACAGTAGCTCCTGAGTCTCCCTGCCTTCACTCTTTCCCCGCTTCAGTCCATTGTCCACAGCAGCTGACCAATCCTCTCCACAAGGAAATGGGATTCTGTCACCTGCCTTCAGAATGCCCTTCTTGTTGTACTTAGAATAAAATCACATTGTATGTGGTCATGTGGCCCCATTTGACCTGGCCACACCAACCTTTCTGATCTCATGTCCAGCCACACTGGCTTATTTTTTGCCCTTTGAACAGGCCAAACCTTTTTCTGTCTCAGGGCCTTTGCACCACTGTTCTCTCCCTGGTATGTTCTTTGTCCAGATTGTTTAAAGACTGGCTCCTTCTCAGTTACTTGGACCTCAGCTCAAATGTCACCTTGTATAACAGCTCAGTCTGAGGCAGCACCCCTTTACGTTCCCCAGGATTCAGGCTTAGTTGTTGAAACAAAGGCCAAGATAACAAGATAGGTTATTCCTGTCTGTTGTATGATAGTCTGCATGTAACCCCTTTCAGGACATGAATGGAGCCTACTGTGTCTGGGACCCAGATACCTTTCTTTTTTTTTTTCTTTTTCTTTTGGTACGTGCCCCTAGCGGTAACCGAACCCGGAACTCTCTGGTCCACAGGCCAACGCTCCAACCGCTGAGCCAAACCGGCCAGGGCTACCTTTTTTTTTTTTTTTTTTTTTTTAAGATATTAAAATTGATTCTTAGAAAGACAGGCAGGGAATGTTGGATAAAACTTGTTCACGTGGCCACAACCAAGGTTAGGGGACCTGGTAGAGTGGGCATTGTTCCACAAAGGCATGGGTAAGCTATAATCTAGGGGCTCTAGTACTCCAGGAAAGGATGCATACTGGGGACTGCAGTAATCTCTACTGTTTCCCGTCCTTCTGTCCCACCCCTCTATGCTCTTATTGTCTCAGTATTTATCTCTGGAAGTTTGTTTTTAAAATATGGGCTTTTGTACTGGCTGTAGGTCTTCCCTCCTAAAATGAAGGCCCCCTTGGGGCAGGTGTGTCCCAGCACCTGGACTCCTGTCTGGCTCACATTAGGTGCTCAGCACCGCCTACTGTGGGTGAGAGGAAGAATGTATGAATGAAGGAAGGGGTAGACTGCTTTGGCTTCCTCTCCCATTAGTAGAGAAGGAGCCAACTTCTTTTTTGGACCTATTATTGTATAAGGCATATGTTCTCTTCATTTATTTATTTTTTTAATATGTTTTTATTGATCTTTTTTTAGAGAGAGAGGGAGAGAGAGATAGAAACATTGATGTGAGAGAGAAACATCCATCATCTGCCTCCTGCACATCCCTCACTGGGGATCGAGCCTGCAACCTGGGCATGTGCCCTGACCTGGCTGGGAATTCTCAGTCCATGGAACGACGTGCACTGCACTGAGCCACACTGGCCAGGTGGCATATGTTCACTTTAATATTTCTCGCTGTTAGTATGTCCTCAAGTTGCAGGTGGTTATGTGACCCCAGAGCCAGTTAGTGGCCTGCTGGAGAGAGCAATGGAGGGGCCTGAGCCCCAGGTCTTAGCCCAACCCGTAGGAGTCTTCTCTCCCTTTAAGCTAGAGGTAGCACTTGCATTTCATGGCTGTAAATAGTGAGGACGTCCCTCTATCCCCTCTAGCCTTGTCTCAGGCCTGCTGTTGTTCAGCAAGAGTGTTAGTGCCAGATAAACATGGGTTCCTGTTGCAGTTCTGCAAATCCTTCTTTCCAACAAGTGCTAAGTGTCCTGGGCTGTTCCTTGCTGAGTGGGAGACCTATGCTCTTGGCATGTCAAAGAACATCTCAATTTTTAAAAATTTACTGAAGTGTAACCCATGCAAGTGCCCAAAGTATAGGTCCATGGCTTAATTGCAACACAGTGAGCACGCCTGTGCACTCACCACCCAGATCTAGGAGCTGGTGTGCCTACCTCCACCCCTCTTTCTTCCATCCTCCACAAAGATGACCTTTACTCAGCTTTCTGCGTGGGCTCAAACCACACTGCTCCTATGTGTAGCTCTCTCAGCATTCCTATCCATGAGGCCCTTTCATGTTGTTGCCTATAGCAGTAACCCATTCTATTTATTTCGGCAGTGTTCCACTGTTGTTCATGTGAGGACTGCCATTCTCACATGCATTCTCATTTGGGCTGCCCCCAGCTCAGGGCTGTTATGAACATTCCCAGAAGTGGAGACATGGGTCATAGTTCTCTTCAAGTCATGATTTTAAACCCTGGGCACCTGTTACATCCTGGTGACCAGGCCACACCTGGCTCATCTGCCCTGAGCCCCCTGAGATCCCTGTGGAAGTCTCTGCCACTGTCAGTGCAGGTCTAGCTCTACTGCTATTCTCCCTGAGTCTTGTGACCTGCAAGCCTGCCTTAGTTGTCCAGGGTGGCTCCAGGGCCCTAAACTCCCAGGTCTCCTATCTTCAGGCTAGACTCTAACCTTTCATTCTCAGATCACCATGTGGGCACTTGACTCATATTGCCTCAGCAGCTTCCTCTACCTCCCTCCACAGCACCTCCCCTTCCCTCACCCTCTCCACTTAGAGACCTCTATGTATCTTCTAGGGACAATGCAGTGTCCTCTCTTGTTGTATCTGCCTTTCCAGGGTGGCAAAAGAGGGAGACAAGGGCTTGAGGGCCACCTGAGATGTCCATGATACTACACTCTCTGGCACTTGGCAGCTGTGACTGCACTCAGCCTCCAAGTAGATTCTGCATGGGTGTGGAGGGTTGGAGCCGAAGCTCAGCTACTGAGGACTTCATGTGTGTGGGCTATTAGAGGCACCTGATGTCACTTATCTAGTGCTCACTACAACCTCACAGGATGGACACTGTTGTTACCCCCATTCCAGGGACAGTGGAAACTGAGGCACAGAGAGGACAAGGAAAAAGGGGCAGATTGGGACATGAAACTTGTCTCTCCCCCATGCCCCCAGGATTGGAGGGACTAACTAGGGTGATGCTAGATAGCTTGCACTACTTTACCTGGCACAGAGACAGACAATCATTTGAGGGGGCTTTTATTGTTTGGGGGTCACGAGACAGACCCTGAGACAAGGACTGGGCCCCTGTGTGGCAGTTGGGTTGGGACATGTGTGGGAGTACCACACCTCACCTCACCTGCTATCTGGTGTGATGGGGAGCGGGCAGCAGATCCACTGTGGGCAGCCCTTCTTGTATTCCATTGGGAGCCTGAGACCCAGAGGCCCAGGGCTACATATGTGCTGCTAACATGGTGGCTATCACTCCCCCAAGGCCAGGTGCTGGCAGGATGAAAACACTGCAAGAGGTGATTTGGGCCAATGGGACCACAGTGCTGTCCCCACCCCTGGCTCCCAACATCAGTGTGCCACATCACTGTCTGCTGCTGCTTTACGAGGACATTGGCACCTCTAGGTAAGGCAGTCACAGCCTTGTTTGGCTGGCTAGCCATGTGTGAGCAGGTTTTCCTGGTGTGTGTGTGTGTGTGTGTGTGTGTGTGTGTGTGTGTGTGAGAGAGAGAGAGAGAGAGAGAGAGAGAGACACACACACACAGACAGACAGACAGCGGTGGGGGTGGAATGCAGACACAATCTCACCAGTGACCAGTTTTTATACTTGTCTGCTAGGGTCCGGTACTGGGACCTCTTGTTGCTCATCCCCAATGTGCTCTTCTTCATTTTCCTGCTCTGGAAGCTTCCATTTGCTCGGGCCAAGATCTGCATCACCTCCAGCCCCATTTTTATCACCTTCTATATCTTGGTGAGTTCACTCCAGTTGGTTACGGAAAACCCAACTCCAACTGGTTTAAGCAAAAGAGGGAATTATTAACTGCCTCTGTAATGAAAAAGCAGCTTCAGGTATGGCTAGATCCAGAGGATTAAGTGATGTCATCAGGACTCTCTCTCTCTGCATCTCTACTCTCCTCTGGCCTTATCTCAGATGAGTTTTTCCCATATGGTGTCAAAGATAGCCAAGAGCAGCTAAGAGCTAATATCCTGCCTCCCTGCCACCTGAAGCAAAGAGTACCTACAATGTAGACCTAGACTTACCTCTAACTGGCTCACCTTGATTCTGTTTTCAGCCCAAAGCTAATTACTGTGACTAGTGAGGAAAGGGGTGCTTTGGAGCTAGGAGGGTGGGATTAGCTCAGCCAAACCAGAGGAGAATGGTAGTCCCTAGAAGAAAACTGGGGAACCATTACTAGAGGGAAGATGAATAGATGCTGAGTGGGGAAAAAATACCCATTGAGCCTCCATCCATCCATCTGTTCTTCTGTCCACACATTCTATGAGACCTCTTTGGAGCAGACTTCCTGCCTGTTGGGAGAGCCTGCATTCTCCTTATTCAGTGGTCTTGATGGGTGTTTCCTGGTGAGAGGTTGAGAAGAGCAGGACTGTAGTTGAGAAGGCAGCCTCAGGTGCGAGTCCCAGATATGGGCTCTCCAGCTTGCTCCCTTTCTGCTCCCTTTCTTCTCCCTCTACCCAGGCCTGACTGATTGGAGTCTTCGCCTTTCTGTGCCTTTTAGCTATCACTGCCTGAGAACTGAGTGGTTCCCTGGTCTCCCCTCCGTGGCCTGGGTCAGAACTTCCCAGTCAGAAGAATGGGTAGTGGGTAGGCAGAAAGGCAGGGGAGGCTGTTGGTGGCCCTGCTGACTAGACCCCTTATCTCTGTGAGGTAGTGTAGAATAGGGATGGGGATCAAGGCCTGCTTTCTTTTCTGCCTTCTCCCACAGCCTCTCTATTTACTTTTTTGTATATTTATTCAACAGATATTAATTACCTATTGTATGTCAGGCAGATGCTCTTTCTGGGGAATCAGGCTGGGAAAAGGAACCCAGGACTAATGCCCAGGAACATGAGTACCGAATGACAATGTGCATAGCTCCTGCCCAGTGGGCGCTTGGCATACATTAGGCACATGGCAGTTTGTTGCTTCTGCAGCCTGCCCTGCTGAGTGGTGTAGGCCTCCCCAAGGCTCAGACATGGCTTTCCTGGCACAAAGGACAGAGTGTGTATGAAGGTGGGCTCTTTTGTTTGTATGTGTCAGAAAACTAAACTTAAATCCACAAACTTAAAGCCAGAAGGAATGTATTGACTGAGAAACTGACAAGTCCCAGGGCTTTGGGCACCGCTGGATTCAGAGGTTCAGTGATGCTGTCTAGCACTCTCTCTATCTCCTTCTCAGCTTGGTGTCTCTCTGATGACCCTGTCTCTAGCAGTCTCCACCCTCGTGGCAGCCAGGTAGCCCCTGCAGCTCTGGGCTTGCATCTCCTCAGCTTCTTTTCACAGTGATTGTACCTGATGTCCTGGCTGTGATTTTCACTCAGTTCCCTTGGGTCCCAGCCCCTTCCCCAAACCAGTGGAATGGCATACAGGAATGGCATACAGGAATGGCCAGCCCTAGGACACAGGCCGATCCCTGAAGCCAGGAGTTGTGGGATCAGCTTCTCCCCCAAACCATGTGAAGGAGGAGGGTTGAAGAGGAATGAGGCTGTTGCAAGAGAAAGGGGGTGGATACTAGGCTGATAAAAGCAACAGATGCCAAGCACGGGCACTTCTGTGAAACTTACTCCTGCAGCACCTTCCCTAGGATCTGTGATGCCTCTTCTCTGTGGCTTCCTTTCCCAGCCCCCATGTCTCAGAATTAAAACCATTAATATGACAAGACTAACGGCAGATGTGGACCTAGCCCTTATTGGGTACCAGGCACACTTCCACATTTATTTACCCATTTGATTCCTTCCATTGATCAGATGTGGTAGGTGCTATTATTATTTCTATTTCATAGAAGAGGAAACTGAATCATGGAGGTGCAGTTACTTGCACAGAGGCAGGAAGCAGCAGAGCTGGGATTTGAACCTAGGCAGTCTGGTTTCCTACTAACTGTTCCATGGCTGAGACACTGAGGCCCAAGAGGGGTGGACTAGGCCATTGAGGGTGGTCTCCCCATCTCCTGACTTGTTTAGTTTGGAATCCTTCCATTCTTGAGGAATCAGAACTACTGCAGAAATGGGTTGTGTGTGGGTTTGCTGTCCCTGCAATTCCCAGAGGTCTAATTCCTCAACTCCACCACACCCTGCTTTCACCCACCAGGTGTTCGTGGTGGCGCTGGTGGGCATCGCCCGGGCCGTGGTCAGCATGACGGTCAGCACCTCAGATGCTGCAACGGTTGCTGATAAGGTGTGACTGGGCCTGGTGGCAAGGGGAGTGCTGGGCATTGAGGAGAGGGGTGACTGGGCCCCCAGGCTGACACTCTTCCCACTCTGTATCCAGATCTTGTGGGAGATTACCCGCTTCTTCCTGTTGGCCATCGAGCTGAGTGTGGTTATCCTGGGACTTGCCTTTGGTACGTCTGCTGCTGGGGCCACTGCTCTCCCTGCCCCTCTCTGGCGGGGGGCCGATCCCGCCACCGTCACCTGGGCTGGCTTCTGCTGACTGACCAGCACTTTTCTTCCAGGTCACCTGGAGAGCAAGTCAAGTATCAAACGTGTGCTGGCCATCACCACCGTGCTGTCCCTGGCCTACTCTGTCACCCAGGTAAGAGGGGGTGGGTGGGGCAGGGCAGCCTTGGGATTTTCCTAGAGGAGGCTTGTAGCCAGTGAGGCCCAGGCATCCACTGCCTTCTGGTCCTGGATCAGGCTGTGAATATTTATCATGTGCAGTGTTCTCAAATTTTAAATGCATCTATGGAATCACCTGGTGTGCTTGTTAATAAGGGAGGTTCTGGAGGCCTCTCCCAGATTCCCATCTAATAGATCAGGGTGAGGGAGGAGAGGATGCACATCACCTGCGGTTTTAACAAGCAGCCCTGGTAGGAGAATGTAGGTCTGCAGACCACATTGAGCCCTGCATCCAGAGATCTCTTTCCTAGTTTGGGTCAGGGACTGCCCCTTACCCAGCTTTGTCCCCTGCCCTACTCTAAACCTGTTCTGGGTGCTGGAGTTAGATGGGCAGGGTATGGCCAGAGAGCAAGCTGGAGCAGAAACCTTTGGGGGCCAGGCTGGGGCAGAGCTTGGTATGGTGGATAATTTCTGGGGCTCTGTACTGGCGAAGGCAGAATCCAGTGAGACCCTCCCCTGCCTGCCCCTGCAGGGGACACTGGAGATCCTGTACCCTGATGCCCACCTCTCAGCTGAGGACTTCAACATCTATGGGCACGGGGGCCGCCAGTTCTGGCTGGTCAGCTCCTGCTTCTTCTTCCTGGTGAGGTGGGGTGGGGGTAGGGGTGGTGGACCCTGGGCTTAGGTGCCTTGGGGATGGCCGGGTGAGCCAGAGCCTGGACACCTTGGTACCTGGCCTAGCTCTGGGCTTGGTGCCCTCCAGCACCCTTCTCAGCCCCCATCCTGTCTCTGCAGGTGTACTCTCTAGTGGTCATGCTTCCCAAAACCCCTCTGAAGGAGCGCATCTCCCTGCCTTGTGAGCCTGCTTTGGGACACCACTGGGTGCAAGGGGTGGGGTAGGGGTATAGGGAGAGTATGTTTGGGCCACTGTGGCCTGGAACAGGAGAGCCCTGGGTGAGAGGGAGGCAAGAAGGGCTCCTTGGGGGGCCCGGGGATCCCAGTAACACACTGGGGTGACGTGTAGAGGAGAGGGCAGGACCTCACAGCCCTCAATCCCGCAGCGCGGAGGAGCTTCTATGTCTACGCAGGCATCCTGGCGCTGCTCAACCTGCTGCAGGGGCTGGGAAGCGCGTTGCTCTGCGCTGATATCATCGAGGGGCTCTGGTATGGAGGATGGGGGAGCTGGGACTGGGAGCCCCCTTCTGGGGAAATCCTGCCCAATGAGGCCTGCTTTAACCCTCCCCTACTCCCCCAGCTGTGTGGACGCTACCACGTTCCTCTACTTCAGCTTCTTCGCGCCCCTCATCTACGTGGCCTTCCTCCGGGGCTTCTTCGGGTGAGTTCTCTCACAAGGGCCCGGGAGGCCGAGGCTGATGGGCTGGAGGTCTTTGCAAAGCTCAGCACTTTCCAGCCCGCCACCAGGGGTTGGAGAGCTCCAGGCGCTCCCGCGTGGCTTCCGGTGGAACCGTGCCTTCTGCTTTCTGCGCGTGTGCACTTGCTTGGTAGAGCCTCCCTGCCCTGGATGCAGGCTAAGAGTGGACAGAGGAGCCAGATGGGAGGGGTGTGTGTGTATGTACATATGTACATGTGTGTGTACATACACGTACACACAAAACACACATGCACATACACACATGTACATGTATACACATTATATATGCAATGCACATGGACATACACCCTTTCCCCACAAGAGAGACAGTGGCTATGCACATTGTTGTGCACTTGATGTTTTTAATTTAAGAATAGATTTATTGATTCATTCAGCACACATTCACTGTACCATGCACTGTTGTAGCTACAGGTACACCTGGAACAAGTATACACAAATTCTCATGCTCACAGAGCTTATATTCTAGATGGGGGTGACTGGGCAGAGGAGCAGGGTTGTGGAGAGTCCAATGTGTATTTGAGTATGAGGTGGGGTACACGTGTGTTTGGAGGTGTGTTAGGGAGATGAGATGCTAAAGACATGGGGTTGAGGGTTGGACCCCAGGACTTTGAAGTGGTGGAAACTCAGGCATTTTCCCCCAGCTCTATCTCCCCCTCCTGCCAGATCTGAGGGTGGGGGTGGAAGAATCTTCCTCCTGAATGAAAAGCTGGAAGAGGGCTTTAGAGATGGAGTGAGAAGGACTAAATTGGTTCCAGCCTAGCTCTGATCTGGCCTTAGGCTCCTATTTGCAAGTTGGGTGCAGATCTTCCTTTCTCACTCAGAAGCTGATCCTGAGGATTGAGGGATTGGGTGAGTGCAGAGTGCAGGGCTGGAGGTCATGGCCAGTGTTTGCTGAGCATGTTGAGCCACGGACTGATTCAGGCTTTCACCCTCTGCAAAGAAGTTGGGATTGTTGCACCCACTTTGGGTGAGAAAGCAGGCACAGAACCTCTTGCCCAAGCATGCACAGTTAGGAGTAATTTCACTGCAGGAGGGGAGGCTTGGTATAAGTCCTGTTGGACTCCACAGTCCAAGCAATAGGGATCTCAGGTTTGGCATTAGGCAGCTGTTAGCGCATTTTCTCCTGGTCTGATGGCCTCATTGCCCAATAAAGGAGAACCTTTCTGGAATCAGAAAGTGAGGCTCCCCTCTCCTTCTGTCTTCCCTACCAGCTCGGAGCCCAAGATCCTTTTCTCCTACAAATGCCAAGTGGATGAGACTGAAGAACCAGACATGCACCTGCCCCAGCCCTATGCTGTAACCCGACGGGAGGGCCTGGAGGCAGCAGGTGCTGCCAGCACACAGTTTGACTCAGCCGGCGGGGTGTCCTACCTGGATGACATCGCTTCCATGCCCTGCCATACCGGCAGCATCAACAGCACAGACAGTGAGCGCTGGAAGGCTCTTAATGCCTAAGTGCTGGGGCCCATAGAGGGCAGATGGGAGAGGAGGCCAGGTAGTGTAGAATCCCTGGAGAAAGAGGACAAGGTCATGGGACCTTGTGTGGCTGGCAGCACTATGTAGGCTCTTTCCTTCCCTCTGGGCATCCAGTTGCCCACAGCCATCTCTGCTCTAGCTGTCCCTTCCCCTTCTATCTGCCCTTGGCCTGCTCCACAACATGGCCCAGATTATGATATCTTATGGCCAGGACTGGCTATGCTGGCCAAGGGCACCTGTTCTCCAAAGGAGAAAACCTGGACACCCAGGACTGGTCTGGCCCACTCCCTACAACACTTTGGCCTTCTCAAAGCTCACTCTAGCAGGTGGGCTGAAGTGTGTATATTTTTTTTGATCTATTTTTGAATAAAAAGGAAAATGAGCAGAAGGTATTACTGTGGAGATTCTGTAGAAATACTGGGGCTGGTTCCTTTCAGGAGCCTGAGGGCTGGGGTGTTCAGAGGTCCCAGTAGATCTCTCTGTGTCCTGAGCCCAGGGAGGCTCAACCAAGAACTGGCCAGTGCCTGGGTCCTGCTGGATGCTGGGACATGGAGAGAAATCTGACCCTAGCCATCCCTGTTTGAGTGGATGAGACAAATGTGGGAAAAGGATTGTGGGCTGTCATTCCACTCTTTTGAAGCATGTGACCATTGGAATCAGCTCTTCAGGTTCTGTCCTAGTTCTGCTCTGTTGGCTTGCACCAGCCACTGTCTCCTGCAGCTCTAGTTTTACCCTCTGTAAAAGGAGATAAGAAGGCATATCTTCCAGGTATTTTTGTAAGGACTAGAAAATAGCAAGTGTGAATGACTGGCATTTAGGAATGGAACAACAATGATAACATAGGCTTTTTAGCCTCTAGAACAATGCTTGGCACACAGTAGGCACTCAGAAGACAGGATGCTGGGGAATGACATTCATTATAAGAATGGATGCAATGTGGTGAAAATGGAGAAAATCAGAGTAAAACACGGGGAGGGAAAATTGGAAATAAGAGGGAGGATCCATATGTCCATATTGCTGCTGGTGCAGCTAACTTTGGCTTTGAGTAATTTGGCAGCCAGAGGAGAAAGGGAGTTGAAGCTATGTAATTCCACTGTAGGAGGGGAAGAGGTCTTAGCTGTGGCCGTGGGAGTGCTGAGGGTCAGGCCTGGCACCTACCTCTGCTGCCACCCTTTTTCTCAGTAGGGCACTGAGGGCACCAGCTCCAACATAGCTTGTGCCAGTGGGGCCAATGTGCCAGACTCCCCAGGATCCAGGGCCCAGAGGGCTGACATCGGTGAGGGCACGGCAAGTACAAAGGCAGAGCCAGTGAACTGTGCTCTAAGCCGAGGGGACTCCAAGCTGCTGGGGGATCTTGGCAGGCTTCTCTGTGTGGCACACTTTGCTATGACTTCATAGCTTTTGAAGAATCCTGTTAGGTGAGAAAGGGAAGCCTGCAAGAGTTGAAAGCCAGATAGGCGTTTGACAGTCAAATCAAGAGCTGTGTTCAATATCAGGAGCCTTTGATGTATCCACAATCTAAGAAGTCCTAGCGACAACGTAGTTTACTCTGAGATTGCTGAGCAAGCAGCCAAGTCCTCAGGGAGGTATCAACAGAAGAAAAGAGGTTAGAAACCTGCTGCTTTTTTGTTCTGATTTTAAAGTTTGTTTCTTTAAGTAAGATATGTAGGTGGCAAAAAAATATATATATTCATGCATTATAAGGGGTATACAGTAGGAGGTGAATCTCTGTGAATTTGACATTCAGTTTTCTGTCCCCCTCCCAGAAGCACTGTGAGGCCAGGGTCTCCATGGCCTTGTGGAAGTGTGTGTGTGTATTTCTCCTGTCTTGGGAATGTAAAGAGTCTGTAGCTTGTTTTCTCCACTTGGTAACTGATCTGGTGATCCTTCACTTTGGCAGCTGCACACATCATTATGGATATATGGCAATTTAACCAGTCGGGATGGACTTTTGTTTATAATCTATTTTGCAACAACAAACACTGCAGCAACAAAAATTCTTATAAATATTTTTGGTAAATAATGTAAATGAAATTGTTGGAACATGCAATCTTAACTGTTTTAGTTTTATAGTCTTATGGCAGAGACTAATAACTATCCTCCAATATATATTCTCCTTTTCCTCCACTATAACAGAATGCCTGATTTTTAGTTAAATACACAGCTACTTGGAATAAAGACTATATTTTCCAGCCTTCCTTGCAGGTGGGTGTGGCCATGTGTCTAAGTTCTGGCCAATGGGACATAAGTATGCATTCAACTTCCTCAGAAAGAGGGTAAGCTCTGTTCTTTCCTGCTAACTGGGTTGTGGTTGCAGTGGCTGGAGTTGTAGCATCCGTCTTGAATCAGGGGACAATTTTGGGAATGGAAGTCTCATGGCAGTGCAACAAGATAAAAGGAGCTCATGTTCCTGACATATGGTGCATCCATAATAGCCCTGAATTTCGTACCTTCAGATGACTTTTTTTTTTCTTTTCAAAAATATGTTTTTATTGATTTTTTTAGGGAAAGGGAGAGAGAGATAGAAACATCTATGTCAGAGAGAGACATCGATCGGCTGCCTCCTACATGCCCCCTACTGGGGATCGAGCCCACAAACCAGGCATATGCCCTGACCTGGAAACGAACTGGGACCTCTCAGTCCACAGGACGACCCTCAACCCACTGAGCCACATCAGCTTGGCTAATCTTTTTTTTTTTTTTTTTCCTGTGCGTGTGTTTGTTTTTTTTAAAGAATATTTCTCCTTATAAAAGACTCATTGCGACCCTGGTCAGTTTGGCTCAGCAGTTAGAGCGTCGGCCTGCAGTCCAGAGAGAGCTGGGTTCGGTTCCCACTAAGGGCGCGTACTTCGATTGCAGTTTGTTCCCGGCCCTGGTTGGTCATGCAGGTGGCAGCCACTCGATGTGTCCCTTTCATGTCGATGTTTCTCTCTCTCTCTCTCTTCCTCTCTCTTCCTTCCAGTCTACCTGAACAAAAAATGGAAAAATGTCCTTGGGTGAGGATAAAAAAATTAAAATAAAGACTCATTGCACCTTCTTGAAATACTATAATTTGTCATTAATTTTCACAAAAAGCTCTGACATGGAAAGTTTCTCAAATGTTTCTTCTTGAAAGAGAAGAAAACAGTCATTTTGTTATATCAACATATATGTGGATAATTATAAATACTTTCTATCCTAAAATGGAAATCAAGAACCCTGGGTAAAGAAACTACATTAAAACCTTGTGAGGTAACTATACTGACAAGCCTCCCTTGTCAGACGACTTTTTGAATGTGAGAGAGAAATAAACATCTGTCTTGTTTAAACTGCTTTGGATTTTTTTTCTTACTCATAGTTAAACCTAATCTAAACCAACACACCTTTTATAAAGGCTGGACTAGTTTTAACTCCTACCAGAACAGCCTCACCAACACTTTGTGCTATTCAAATTTTCGATCTTCCTGAAGGTCCCTGTTCACGTCTGTTCTGCTTGGCTCACATCCTATGTGCTGTGCCTTGGTGAGAACAGACATCATGTAGAAGAATGGCCAGGATGTAGGGGTTCTGGAAGCCTCGATATGATGATGGAGTTCACCATATGTGGCCCAAGTTCCAGTCTTACCTCCCTTCTGCTCTTGCTCATGGGCTGTGGACCTTGGGCAAGTCGTCTTCTCTCTGTCAGTTTCCTCATCAGTGACATGAGGTAGCAGATAACTAGTTGCCACCTGAAATCCATTTTCCTCCTTTAGTAACTGCATCCTGGTATTTTGTGGTTCAGTGAAGCACCCAGGTAAAAGGTGTTATTTCCCTGCCTCCATTACAGTCACTCATGTAACTAAGTTTTGGCCAATGAGATCTTAGCAGAAGTAGGAGAGACTTTAGCAGAGGCTGCTTAAAGGGTGCTGACTCAGTAAGGAGGTGTACTCTTCTGTCCTGTTTTTCTCCTTCCTATTTCCTGGAATGCAGATATAACCGACTCTCCAGCTGCTATATTGGATGATGAGGCAACTTGAGGAAGTTATTTACCAAGAACAATCAAATAGAAAGGAGAAACAGTTCTTGCCCCTGATGATTATAATGCCATACCAGCATTGGACTGCTACCAACAGACTTCTTTACGCAAGAGAAAAGCTAACTTGTTTATGTCAAGACCAATCCTAAGTGAAACACGTGAGGATGATGGTATGTCCCCTGTCCCCCCAACTGGTTTTTTGAAGGGCACAGGATATTTAAAGAAAAACATTTGTGTGTGTGTGTGTGTGTGTGTGTGTGTATATATATATATATATATTTTTTTTTTTAATTGATTTTAGAGAGGAAGGAAGAGGGAGAGAAACATCGACATGAGAGAAACATCCATCAGCTGCTTCCTGCACACCCCCTACAGGGGATCAAGCCTGCAACCCAGCATGTGCCCTGACCGGAATCGAACCTGTGACCTCTTAGTGCATGGGATGATGCCCAACCAACTGAGTCACACCAGAAATCTTGGTTCAGGATTTTCTTGCCCAAGGAATCTTGCACCTAGTGGATGACTGACTTCCTGATGTTACAACTCCAGCCATTTGTTTTCAAATACCTAGTATTACAGATAGCAGCAGGGGCTTATGAAAAGAAAGAGGTGGGAATTCCCTTGGGAGGGAGGTCTCTGTGGCCCTGAGCATTGGGAACCCATTCATGGTGGAGGTCAGGCTCCAGGTAAAAAGGTATACTTGTGAACTTAGGGAGGAATACCCTGGGCACAAGGTTCTCAGCTGCTCTAAAGGGTCTCCCAGCCTGTACATGGTATCAGCGAACCAGAGCTCTTAATTCTGCAGATGCCCCTTGGCCGGGAGCACTGGCGTTTCAGTGATTATGAACATATGACCAGTGGAATACTAGTTTGCTTGGGTGCCATAACAAAGTACCACAGATTGGACAACTTCAACAATAGACATTTATTGTCTCACAGTCTGGAGGCTAGAAGTCCAAGATAAATGCATTGGTAGGGTTGATTTCTTCTGAGGCATCTCTACTAGGCTTGCGGATGGCCATTTCTCACTGTGTCCTCACATGGCCTTTCCTCTGTACATGCTCATCTGTGGTGTCTCTGTGTGTGTCCAAATTTTCTCTTCAATAGAGGAACCAGTCAGATTGAATTAGTTGCCAACCTAACAGCCTCATTTTAACTTAATCACCCCTTAAACGCCCTATCTCTAAATACAGTCACATTCTGAGGTATTAAGGATTAGGCCTTCAACATACGAATTTTGGGGGTACATAACTCAGCCCATAACAAACGGCATTAAAGCTTTTCTCCCTCTGACATCCTAACACTGCAAGATCTTGAGACCTTGACCAAGTCCATAGACCAGGCAGAAAACCTCCAAGAATGACTAAGGTTAAATATTCCACTCATTAGAATAGGGCCAGTTGGAAATTAAGAGCCTTCTAAAAAACTCCAAAGGCTTGTGGAATGTGACTCACAGCACCTGTGTAAGGGGGTTCTCTTGGGGATCTGTCACATATTCTGCTTCCTCTCCTGGACACACATATGGGATTATTGTACTTTATTGCCTTTGAAGGAGGGTAAAGCCATGTGATATACTTTGGATGATAAAATATGAGTAGAAGTGGCAGTGTCACTTCCAGGTAGAAGCATGTAATTGCCAGCACATTAATGTGTCCTGCCATGGTAATGGTAGAGCCATGTCAAAACAGATCCTTAGTCTGTCCCTGAGGGACCACCACGAGAAGAGTGCTTCTGCTAAGCTGCACTGAACATGTAGCCAGAATGAGAACTAAACTTTGTCCTTTAAGCTCTAATGTTTGTTACTTCAGCATATCCTGTCTGATTCAAGGATTAAATGAGATAGGCCACATGGTACACAGTAGGTGCTCAGTTAATTTGGTTTCTAACAAATAGGGAGAGCAAGACCTCAACTAGGAACAAGGAACATCTTTGGGTTTGCAGGGTCATCCCCTCATCTTCTGTCTCATGGACTTCATTTTCAGACCTCATGGATCACTCTGTTAGCTTCATACAGAAGCTGTTCCTTCCATTTCTGGCTTCCCTTTCTCAGGGACACATGGGCCAGGCTCATAACCACACACCCTAGCCTTCTCCTTTCCTTCAGGTTCTAGCAGCCTCACCTCCACTTTGGGGACCGGGGCCTATATGACCTTGGGGAGGAGCTGATGTATTGTGGTAGCATAGGCTTGTTTTTGGAGACAGGCCTGTGAAGTTGAGGAAACACTGATATCCATGGCTACCATTTATTATAGGGAATTACCAGTATCCTGTGCTGAGCCACCTGGAATGCCAACATAAGAAGCATTGCCCTTTCCCTGACAGGATGGTACTGACAAGCTGCCTGCACTTTGCAGTACTGGGTCCTGAGCCCAGGAAGGGCAGGCATGCTCTCCTAGGAATGAGGGGACACACCCCTCTTAGAGCAGGTAGCTTCCTGGGCCTGTGTCAAACAACACTCAGGTTGCCTATACCTGCCATCTGGGCTGTCCAGCACCATGTCACCGAACCTGTGGCAGGTGGGCTGCTTGAGAGAACTCTTGCTCTCACTTCTTCCTGCAGACTGAGTCTGCCCTTCTGTCTCCTTAGGGTAGGCCATCATGAGGGGACACAGCCAGCCCAGAGAAGCAGCTGCTGAACCATCAGAAAGACAGGCCATAGCCACAAGCAACGTGTGTCTTCAGTCCCAGAAGTGGGTTTGTGGGGGAGCAAGGGGTCAGAGATACCCACTTGGTTCTAAGCCCCATTGAATAGATTGATGTCAGTGGCCTGGAGCAGAGTGGTGGTCTGACTGAGCTGGAGACTAGATCCACATTCTCCAGAACTACAAAAACCAAGTGAGACCTAAAGGATGTAGGTCCTCTTTACCCTGTGTCCCTGGGGATTTGTACATGGGCTCTGCCCTCAGATACAGTCCCAACGGGACAGGGGCAAGGTAGGCCATTCTGGGATTCATGGGATTGCTGTGGCTCAGAGAGCCAGTCTCCTCTTGGAGCATTACCCTGGTTCATACCTGT